AGTAAATCAACACAAGAACTTCAGAACACAAAGAAACGGAAGAACAAACTCACAAAGAAAGACACATCAGGGGAAATAATAGTCTCAACAAGAATAGTTCAAAAAGGGAGAGGTAATGTATAATAATGATTCCACAAAAGTACAATTCGACAACAAGAGATATAGCATGCATCAATGAACCCAAATAAGAATACGCCAACAATGAAAGGGATAACAAACTTCAATTAAGGCCAAGCAATTACGGAAGAGATAATAATGATTTCAATTAAGGTTAAAAAATTACGGGAAGGATAGCATGACAGTAAAAGAGGCAACAACTTCAGTTAAGGCACATAAGAGTTTAATCGACAATAAGGGTAGAACATGAAGCAATTAATTCCAATTAAGACACGTAAGGGTGAATTTAGTAAATGGGGGATTTAACATGACGAACAACTTCATATCTAATGAACATAAGAACCCAATAGCCCTAAACGGTCAAATTCTACAAATAAGCCCGAGCACATACTCGTTATCTCATGTACACGGCCTCCACATGACACAATTAGTACAAGTGACTCAAATCCTAAGGGGTAGTTTTTCCACACAATGTTAGGCAAGATACTTACCTCAAAGAAGCTAGACTGTTCCTCTAAAATGACCTCCTCGAGTGAAACAACCTCCGGACGGCTCAAATCTAGCCAAAATAACTTCAAATTATAAATAAAACTCATAGGAAATAATTCCAGATAATAAAGCTTCAATCTTTAAAAGAACTAAAAAGTCAACTTCCAGGCTCGTACCTCGGAATCCGATAAAATTCATAAAATCCAAACACCAATTCCGATACGAGTTCAACCATACCAAAATTATCAATTTCTAACATCAATTCGTCCTTCAAATCATCATTTCAAATTTTGAAAGATATTTACAAATTTTCCCAAATTCCAACTTAATTCACTATCTAAATGATGAAGATAACAATGGATTCATGAAATATAATAAGATTCGGGTAAAGAACACTTACCCTGATGAATTACTTGAAAAACCCACAAAACATCCCCAAAACCGAGGTCTACAACTCAAAATATGGAAAAAGAATGGAAAACCCTCGAATATAACCTCTCTGCCCAGCACTTTCCGCATTTGCGGGCAATAGGTCACTTTTGCGACGTTCGCTTTTGCGAATAAAATGTTGCTTATGCGGATGATCACTCTCTTGCACTGCCTTCGCTTCTGCGAGCCCAGGCACCGCACCTGTGATGGCATAGGTGCGCAAGGATTCTCGCTTCTGCGAGCACACACACGGCTGCCAGCTTCCGCTTCTGCGTCTTCATCTCCGCGTCCGCGGTCATGCAAGTGCGGAAAATACTTCGCACCTGCGACCACTGCCCAGTCCTTCCCCTTTCTCTTCTGCGATCACTGCCTCGCCTATGTGGTCACGCACCTGCGAACAAATCCATCGCAGGTGCGAGGACACCAGTCCAGAACCCCTAAGCATTTCTTAAGTCCAAAAATCTGATCCGTTATCCATCCGAAATCCACCCGAGACCCTCAGGACCTCAACCAAATATACCAACACATCCTAAAACACAATACGAACTTTGTCGAGGCCTCAAATCACATCAAACAACATCAAAATTACGAATCGCACCTCGAATCGAACTTATGAAATTCCAAATCTTCCAACTTCTAAAACTCGTGCTGAAACATACCAAATCAACCCGGAATGACGTCAAATATTGCATACAAGTTTCAAATGACATAACGGAGCTAATCCAACTCCCAAAATTGGAATCCGAGCCCGATATCAACAAAGTCAACTCCCGGTTAAACCTCTCAACCTTCTAAAACTTCAACTTTCCAATTTTCGCTGAAATGCTTCAAATTACTCTACGGACCTCCAAATCCAAATCTGGATACACGCCTAAGTCCAAAATCACCATAGGGACCTATTGGAATCATCAAAATCATATTTAGGAGTCGTCTACACAAAAGGTAAATCTCCCGTTAACTCTTACCGCTTAAGCTTCTAAAGCAAGAATCCTTCTTCCAAATTGACCCCAAATCATCCGAAAATCGAACTCGACCACACACGCAATTCATAACACATAATACACAACTACTTGAGACCTTAAGCCGCCGAACATGACGCTAATTGTCAAAACGACCGGTCAGATCGTTAAACCTGCAATAACAAAGATGGAAGAGGAGTTAGTATAGTAAAAGGTGAAGACATAGTGTTGGCTACTAGAAAAGAGACCTTACCATGAGAACGGGCCTCCCATCAACCCTTCGAGAGTTCGTGCCATGTGTGCTTGAAGTACGATATCTAAGTACATATGCCCTCGATCCAATCCTTTAACCGGGGGACCGCATTCGGAACCCAGACGACAGCTGCATAGCCACAAGCATGAATGAGAAGATAGAAATGGAAAAAGAAGAATTTTTGATGTTGAAAGAGGGAGTTGCACTGTATAATCGAAGCAGATGGTCGATCGTGAACCAATGAGATTCGGACTTGTTCACGAAGTAGCGGAGGAGGGTCACAATCCTCTACAACGATGGGTGGATCTACCTGAGGCACACCTAGTTTCTCTTGCAAAAATCTAGAACGATCGGGTTTACCGGGTCCAGTGTGAAGGGATAAGTCTAAACACTTAAGTACCTCTCCACGTGGGTGGTGACGGCGTCCTCGGGCTCGGGGACTACTATGTTCTTTCCTTCCCAGTTGCAATCCTTACGAACTATGGGAAGAATATCTTCAGTCACAGAACATATGTACCTCGAGACTCCTTCACCCCGGTCCTGTTTGCACGAGGGCTTCTCGACTTTAAAGTCATCTGCAATTGAGCAGCCCCCAAGAATGAATGCCGACAAGGGAAGCTCGGCGGCCGGTTCGTTAGCGGCCACAATGGGGGAAACCATTTTCGAGGGCAATCACCTCAGGGGCAACCGCTTCAGTACCAGCAGTTGGTTGAGAAGATGAAGAGCCAACTTGTTGAGGCACGATTTTCGATGTTTTGGCCATTGTCATCTGAGAGAGTGTTTGAATGTTTGAGAAAAGAACGCAAAGTTTTGGAAAAACGGGTTTTGAAGATAAAGAATAGAGTATGAAGATTTGAAGAAAATTTAGACAGAAATCAGGAGATTGCTATGGAAATTGAAGAACAAGGATGAAGATATGAAGAACGTTTGATGATAGCTGGAAAGTTCAAAGGTAGTGATTTGGTCGAAAAGTAGAAAAAAGACAAAATGAGGAGCTTTTATAGGGAAACAGCCGACGCTTCATATTCGGAGGTGACCTGCCGGTGAGCGACACGTGTCCGAATTCAGAATGACATGATTGATGGGACGTTTCATCTCCCTCATCATAACGTACGAAGGAAGGAACCAGAGTCATCTGTCATTTCCCATCATGTCGGCAAGCCTACTCTCTGAGAAGCTAGGGGACTATCTGTATACGGGTAAAATCGGGCCCACTGAATACCTCTATTTCCTGGTAAGACAAACAGAGAAGGAACATGACCGTAATGAATTAGAGTCAAAGCGAGGAGCCCCTCGTATCGGGGCTTGGGCAAAATATCTGCCCTCGAGGGTATCGGGGTCGTGTCCTCCGGGTCCGGTTCGAGGGTCAAGACTTCGGAGAGCATTACCCAACAGCTGCACATGACTAGCAAATGGCCGTGATGTCCGTGACCAACCGGATATCACGGCGTGAATCTTAGCCCGTTTCGGCAGAAAATCAGTAATTAGTGAAACATAAGATTTTTACCTTTCTTAGAATTGTACGTAGGGTAAAACTCCCCTACTATATAAAGGGGGAAGCTTATTATTTATGACACACATTGTAACATGTATATCAAGGTAATTTATTTCAATTCTCTTTGTTGTTCAAAGTTCTTATTCTTGTTCTTAAGTTCTTCATAAGTACAAGCTTGGAATCGAGGGAAAGTTCTTCGTCGAGCCATCTACCGAGCCCGGAATCACCCTTATCATCGGTTTGGTCATTTATTACGTCTTTCATTTGCTTAATCTAATGTCATTAATTGATCACTCGTATTGAATTAATCCACATATCCTTAAAATTACATATAAATTCAATTGTTATCCATTTTTGAGGCATCTTGGTTAATATGTTAAAAGGCATGTACGATCCAATGCAGGACGCAATTAAGGATATTCTACAACTCTTGCAATCTTGCGAGTTTTCCATCCAACATTGCTATCGTGAAGCTAACCAAGTAGTAGATGCATTGGCTAAATGGAGCATCATTCATGGGAATTCTATATTTTATAATTGGAAGGATCTTCCCAATCAAGCTACATGCCCATATATGATGGATAAGATACAAATGGCTACATTTAGACACAAGGGAAGAAGGAAATTTATTACTGAACCTATGTCATTTTGTGTATAGCACTTTCTGAGAGTTCCTTTCATACATAGGTAGACTTTCTTACGTACATTTGATATGTACTTTTTGTATATTGGTAAGAAAGCTACTCTATCTTTGTATTTGTTCTATTAACGGTTATAAGGATGGTCTTTTGGATGTAATTAATAGAGGTCAGGTGAAATGTCCCCTTTATGTTATGTGCTCTTTTTGTTGGGATTATATAAAAGGAAGGCGCCACCTAAGGCGTAAAATTTAAAAAAAAAAAAAAACACATAGTGGGTTCAAAGTCTAATTTGGACCGTGTGTGTGTGATAAAAGAAATAAAAATAAGCATGTAAAGAACATAGTGCACTTATTCCAATTCCTGAATTTTTCACTGGCTTTGATTCAATTTTATTTAATCTAAAATAGCAGTATATCCTTTTTTATGCGTTTAACTTGTGTAGCTTTATACTATGATATTTAGCTTAAGTTAGTTAAATTAAAGTAACTCTCATTATAATACTCTAATAGCTGGTAGATGATCATTATTAGTTAATAATTGCAATTGATAGGCTATACATGTCTAATATGAAACATGAGAATTATTCATGATCAAGATTTTAAAAAAAATGCGTTTTTACATATAGTCAGCATATTGGTTTCTTAATGTCTTGTAGGTAAATAATTAAAAGAAAATGGCATATTGTTGCTTCCAAATTCATAAACTAGGTATGAGAGAGGTCCATCTCCATTCCATTGTAAGCAATTGGAGCATACATCCACATATCATCCGAGCTCAGTAACTGCAGTAAGTGGGAAGTATTTAGTTATTAAGATTCCTTCTGATTTCAATCTAATCAAATAATAAAGAAAGCAAAAAATGGGAAACTTTGGTTTTTATACCTTAATTTGTAGCTGCAGAAACTTCACATATTGGACGGCTTCTTCAAGCATTGTGCTTATGTCAACCTGAGTTACACCAATTAAAGAACTGAATCAAAGGACTATTCTTGATTATCTTCAACACCTTTAGGAAACAGTAGAATGCTCTCTATACACACTATTTCGAGGGGATGTAATACGATAATTAAAAGCATTGTTTACCTTTGTGCCATTGGGGACAAGATTCTGCAGGATCTTCAATCTTTCATTGATTTTCTCTCTTCTTCTCTGCAGTTTGTAAATAAAAATATTAGTTTTAGGATTAAACTTGAAGGTCAAGGGTTCGAGCCGTGGAAGAAGTTACTAATGCTTGCATTAGGATAAGCTATCTACATCACACTACATCCCCTGTGGTGCGGTACTTCCCCAGACCCTGCGTGAACGCGGGATGCCTTGTGCACCCGGCTGCTCTTTTAGTTTTAGGATTTAACTTATGTACATGGACAGTTATTAGCAGTGCTTTTCACTTGTCGTAGCAGGTAACTTGTTTCTTGAGCCGGGGGTCTTTCGAAAACAGTCTCTCTACCTTCATAGGTAGGAGTAAGGTCTGTGTACATACTAACCTCCCAATACCCCACTTGTGGAATTAAACCGGGTTGTTGTTATTGTTGTAGCAGGTAACTTGCCTTAATTTCCAAGTTTCACTTTTTATAGACAGTAATCATAGTTATCTTTCACGTTACATGACTGTATAAAAATCTAAACTAGGAGTGTGTTTAAGTTGAGCTTTGAGATCAAAGAGTATATTTGGATGCTGAACAGAATGAAGAAACAGTAATTGAATAAAAAGCTGATGTTTCTTACCCTTGCATAAAGGCTCTGGGGATCTGTTGCAGTCCCTCTGCTGGCCCTTGTTTTACTATTAAAGTTGCTTTTAGTGTCAGAATTTGTGTTTAATTCCTGAGAAGCATTGGAATCTTCCTCAGAGCTACAACTACTTATGCTCTGTCCACTCTTACAATTTGCTGCATTATTAGTCTCTTGCTGATCTCCTACTTCTTCATTGTTAATTTGGATGTTTTTGTGGTTCTTTTTTACTTTTGGCTGGGCACTCTTCTTATTTTTTGGTCCCTGCATTGAGTAAATAATTAACCCTATTAGAAAATGCTTATCTTGAGTTCAAGATTCTACCACAAAGACAATCAATTTCTGTAGTTAAACTTTTTAAATTAACTCACCTCTCTTGACACCTTTGATTTCTTGGGATTTTTAGTTTCCTCCAATTTCTGATCCTCTGCTACTGATTGAAGTTCTACTTCATGCAACTTCCTCTTTAGCAGCATTTCCTTGCCTATGTCATCTTTCAGGCTGACCATTTCTTTCATGAAATCGTCGTCTTGAAACGCTGGATTAACCGATGAATTTTCAAGATTTTTGTGGCCCATCATGTAAAAATCAGTGGACTCATCAGGGTGGTTGTTTGTTACTTGAAGGAGGTTAGTAACACCATTATAATGTTGCAGATACTCATGACTTGTATTGTTGAGAAAAAACATACCATCACTTCCTCTGCTGTCATTGCTATTTTCTTGAGAAAAATACTCTATGTTACTGTTAAAAGTATGAGAAGGAGAAGAGTAAAAACTCCCTTCAATGTTTGTATTGTCAGTCACATTCTTGTTAGCTTCTTGATCATGCCAAGTTAAGGCTGAAGGATGATCACATTGCAATTGAAACAAGAAATCTGAATTTTCAGTAAAGAACATTCTGCTCAAAGATTGACATTCTTCATCAAAAAAAGTTCCCACAGACTCCATTTTGTGTTTTTAAAAAAAATTGAAAGTAGGGAGGGGGAATGAGAAGTGGTTTACTAAATATAACCACTAAATATTCTCAAAAGTGGTACTGACAAAACAAGCTTTTGAGGATGATCTCAGTTTGGAATGTGCCAAAAGTTGGGAACTTATTTATACTAGAAAGGGCTATAAGGAATATGGAAGAATGTTTAGTAGTATAATTAATTTATGGGCCAAATACCTATGCAGCCCCTTAAACTTGGCTCCAGTTTTCATTTTGACACTTTAACTAAAGTCAGTACCTATTGAACACTCAAACTCTGTCTTACTTGTGCCTATTAAACACAATAGCTGACATGGCAAAAAAATATGTATTTCACCACTCTTAAGCGCGTGAATGGATCTGAAATTATATTTTTTCTTCTTTTTTATTTAAATAAAAACCCCTTTTTCTAAAGAAACCATATCACCACCGTATTAACTCCATTACTGCCGCTCCTCCGCCATTGATGCAACCATTTTACTTCGTTCTTCTTTCTCCGCACACCACCCTCCACCCTTCCCCTTCTTCCTCCTCCCTACCCACTACTACCACCACCAGCCTTGATCCTTTCCCTTCCCTCCTTACATGAAACGGAGATTTAAAAATTTCGAGACGAAGAACAAGTTGACTCAGAAGGTTGAATTGATGAGATAACTAAAATTGATCAGAAATTGGATCAAAGAAAATTGTTCAAGTATGAGTTTGACGAAGAAGACGACGATGGAGAATTTTTCGACCATGAAGCTATGCAAATTTTTTCTGAACTTCAAATTATTTTTTGACTTCAAATATTTATTTTTTAGTCAATGGACCAATCTCATACATCGTCAATCTGGTGCAGAACTTGAAAGAAATCAGATTCCATAGAAGACTCTCCCTAATACTCAGCGTTTAAGCAGATGGAATGAAACCCATTTCTCTTTCTCTTTTTTCCTTTTTAGATTTTTTACTCTTCTTTTTCTCTGTTGACTTGTCTTTTTCTTATTGGTGTTATTTGTTAGGTCAATGGCAAGTAGCTTCACGCTTTGAAATTTGTTGAGGGTTATAAAAAATATGTTTAATAGGTATAAGTAAGATAAGGTTTAAGTGTTCAATAGATATTAGTCTTAGTTAAAATGTTAAAATAAAAATTAAAGTCAAGTTTAACCGCATAGGTATTTGGCCTAATTTATATATTGAATTCCATAATTCCATATGGAATCTCTAGGAGTCCACTGTGGGGCCAAATAACAGGCAATGTACAACTCAGAAGTGGGACCAAGTTCATGCAATGATAAAATAAAAATAGTTGCCATCCTTTCAGATGAGATTAGTGCAATCTTGGACTTAGTTATTATGCCCTGTAGACTGATTAGAAGGATAACTGTCTTAATCTAATCATTGGGGCATGGCTTTTAATCCACTGATTAATGAGTCTTTTTGCTAAAAAATGATTAATGATGATTCCTCAGTTTGGCAGAAGAATAGAGAGAAAATGACAAAAATGAATCCCTTATGTTTGGGATGGGTTTAAAAATAGTCAGTTAAATGTACTCATAAGAGTTCTGGTCCTTTAAGTTTGCTAAAAGTGGACCCTTTAGTTTTTGTCCAATACTTAACAAACTATGGCGGTTAGATTTAAGAGAAATTATGAAAAGAAAAAAATTTAACTTGAAATACCAGGAAAATTCCATCAAATCTTAAAAACTACTACACCAAATTAAACTAGACACCAAAAATAATGGAAATTGCACCTCAAAAAGTGCACAAGACACCATAAATGCACCTCCAAATGTGAGTTCACATCTAATCTTTTTTTTTCCACATTACCTGTTAAATATAATATTGAGAGTTTGTTAAATATTTGACTAAGACTAAAAGTATACGCTTTTAGCAAACATAGAGGACCTAACCTGTTTAAGAAAATATTTAAGGACTATTTTAAAAACCTATTCCCAAACATAAAAGAACATTTTTATAAACTTTCAAGTTCGGCATAAAAGTAACTGAGAGAACATGGTATATTGTTTTTTTCCTTGTATGTATATAGAAGTGGTGTGTGTGTGTGTGTGTGTGGNGACATCCTTAAAACAACTGCCAAAATCAGACACAGTAAGCGCGAAGCTCGTATCTTGTCTCTAAACCTAACAATTGCTACCATAGTAGTTGTATTTTGTTGTACTAAAATATGATATCCCAGGTAACAATTTCAACTGTAATGTTTTCGTCCTCCCCTTATAATATGAGCTCATTCTAGTTTGTTTCTTGTAATGTGACAGTTGGAATGTGGTAGCTTGTGATTAAGTGAAAGACTAAGTTTTATACAACATTTGTAATTTTGACCTCCAAGGTTCAACATTTTCACAAGACAAGTTTTCGCTAAAGTGACAACGTTAAGTTAGATGCATAATCGTACAATATTTAGATAAAATTATAAATGATAACATTTGACAGAAGGCACAAGTAGTATGTGTACGGGTAAAATTGGGGGTAATGTCTATCCCGATTCCCCGGTGAGAAAACGGAAGAAGGGCACAGATGCACGAAATTGTAATCGAGGTTAGAGACCCCTCGTATCGAGATCCAGGAAAAGTGAACGATGTGCTCATCATCAGGTATGGTAAAGCGACGCGTCCCGGGCCAAGAATGAGTTCTAAGACCTCGAGAAACACGGAAAATGGTTACACAGACAAATAGAGGGCTGTGATATTCGCACCCAACCGAATATCACAGCGCGGATCTCGCTCGATGTCGGTTATGGATTAATAACTGACTAGACAGGAAGATTTTTACCTTTTTAGACTTATACTAGGGATGAAACTCTCCTACCATATAAAGGGGAAGTTTTTCTTTTGTAACACCCACTGTAACACGCGAACCAAAGCAATTCAAGTTTATTTTCTGATAAAGTTCTTGTTCACTTGTCCTGTTTTTCATTCATGACTGGGCTCGAACCGAGGGTTCGATTGAGGACGAGGTCACTGTTCAATCTAAGTTCAGGCCTGGCCATAACAATATAATTGGTTTGATCGCTTATTTCGTCTTTAATATATTTATCTAATATTCTTAATTATTTGTGTTGAATCAAACCACGTATCCTTAAAACCGCGTACAAATTTAATTGTTATCCAATTTTAGTGTAAACAGTTTGGCGCCCACCGTGGGGCTAAGGATAATAGTGGCGATTTGATGCGAATCAACATAACACACCATATTTTACGCTTGTTCTTTGAAATCTTAATTACATGTCAGCCCAAAAATATCAAACTCTCAGTCTGCTCACTTGGACGTTGACACTGAGTCTGGCCATCACGACGAAAAGAATAATTTGGTGCCCAGCAACGAGGTGCCTCCTGCAGATCCCAACAATGCCCAAGTTATCGATCCGATCGATGCTAACTCGCAGGTGGCCATCCACGTCACTTTGCCAATTGATCCCGAAAATAGTGTTTGCGGTGGACCCCGACCAATAGCTCGAGAAGCGCCCGAAGGCGAGGGCGATGTGGTAGCCTACAGCTAATCTTCGAAATGCTGCAAGCTTAATAGGCGGCGATAGCACAGCTGCAGAATCAAAGCCACGCCCCCAGCAGGGTCGATCCCGAATGATCCCGAGAAAAGCATTCGAAGAAATGAGCAAATCATCGAGGGACCGGGTGAAGCCGAGCCCGGGGTAAATCACGAGGTAATGAAGATGCTCGAAGAGTTGACAAAACGAGTGGAGTCGGGTGAGAAGAAGATTGAGGCTAATGACAAGAAGGTGGAAACATACAATTCCAGGGTCGATTAGATCCCGGGAGCACCCTCGATATTGAAGGGGCCGGACTCCAAGAAGTTTATCCAGAAGCCTTTTCCTCCGAACGCGGCTCCAAAGCCGATCCCAAAGACGTTTTGTATACCCGACATCCCCAAATATAATGGGACCACAGATCCAAACGAGCATATCACCTCCTACACATGCGCAATCAAGGGGAGCAACTTGGAAGACGATGAGATCGAGTCGGTGTTACTAAAGAAGTTTGGTGAGACTTTGTCCAAAGGAGCAATGATATGGTATCACAACTTGCCCCCAATATCCATTGACTCATTTGCTATGCTTGCAGATGCTTTCGTAAAAGCCCATGCCGGGGACATCAAAGTCGAGACCAGAAAGTCAGATCTTTTCAAGGTTAAACAAAGGGACAAAGAGATGCTCAGGGAGTTCGTGTCAAGGTTCCAGATGGAACAGATGGACCTACCTTCGGTTGCAGATGATTGGGCCGTTCAGGCATTCACTCAGGGGCTTAACCCCTGAAGTTCCGTGGCCTCTCAACAGCTGAAACAAAATTTGGTGGAGTACGTAGCGGTGACCTAGGCTGACATCCACAACAGGTACCAGTAAAAGATCAAGGTCGAGGATGACCAACTTGGAGCCCCTTCAGGGTATGTTTACCCCATCAGGGGTGATGATAGGTCTAAGGGAGTCATTGATCATGAGCCAAGACCGTTTCGGGATCAGTACCAACCACACAACACGGACCGAAGAGGAAATGGGTTCGGGCATCACCCCATAAGGAACGAAAAGAGAGGCAATCAAGGGCCAGTGTTCGAGGTCTGATAAGCAAATATGGTTTTGACACGCCGCTCGGGAGTAGGGAAGCACCAAAATTATTAGAGTATAACTTTAACGTGGATACCGCCAACATCGTGTCATCCATCGGGCGCATCAAAGAGACCAAGTGGCCCTGACCATTGCAGTCCGACCCTACCCAAAGGGATCCTAACTTGACGTGTACGTATCACGACACTCATGGTCACAGGACCGAGGATCGCCGACAGTTGAGAGAAATTGTCTGGTTATTCAACAACGGGCACCTCCGAGAATTCCTGAGTGATCGAGCCAAAAACCACTTCAGAAATAGGGATGCTAAGAAATAGGTCAAACAAGAGGAGCCTCAGTACGTGATCAACATGATCATCTGAGGATTCGTTGTCCCCCAAGGACCAATGATTAAACGCACTA